GGTTTTTGTGGTAAAATTTGGTATCATTAGAAAGGTCTTAACTTGGAGTTGTGCCTTTTCAAGGTTTCATTCAAAAATGCTCGATCTCTAGACACATAATTAATAAATGACCTTGTATCTTGTGAACTATTGATATTTTTAAAGATATAAGCTCATCCCGATGTTACACTCATCAAGACCTTTCATTTGAGTACCCACATCAATTTTTTATATATTTATATATATCATATATATGTATATATGAAGAATATAACAAAATGCATGTGGGTACTCAGATGAAAGCTCTTGATGTGTGCAACATCGGGATGAGCTTATATCCTTAAAAACGTCAATAGTTAAGAAAGTACAGGGCATTTTGCCAAATATCTTGTGAACTATTGACATTTTTAAAGATATAAGCTCATACCGATGTTACACTCATCAAGACCTTTCATTTGAGTACCCACATCAATTTTTCATATATTTTATATATTTATAGATATTATATATATGTATATATGAAAAATATATCAAAATGGATGTGGGTACTCAAATGAAAGCTCTTAATGAGTATAACATCAAGATGATCTCATATCTTTAAAAATTTCAATAGTTAAGAAAGTACAGTATAATTTAACATAATTAAGAAACGACCTTGTATCTTGTGAACTATTGACATTTTTAAAGATATAAGCTCACCCCGTCATTACACTCATCAAGACCTTTCATTTGAGTACCCACATCAATTTTTCATATATTTATATATATTATATATATGTATATATGAAAAATATATGAAAATGCATGTGGGTACTCAAATGAAAGCTCTTGATGAGTGTAACATCGGGATGAGCTTATATCTTTGAAAACGTCAATAGTTAAGAAACTACAGTGCAATTTAACAAAAGTTATTATTTAATAAAGCAAAATTTTATTTATTTATAGTTCACAAGTCACGGCAGTCACATAGTGACTGCAAGGTTGCTAGCTGCTAGTTATTATTATTATTATTATTATTATTAAAATTTTTATATTTTGTTACACTGTAACATATTACATATTAGTGAATCATGAATCTGGTTTACAAACAAAAGCGTCTGGTTCTGAATTCTCTTCTCTTCTCACATGCACATGCAAGTGTATGACATGTGTGCTGCTTATAGCTTAACAAAGTATATAAGTATACACATAATAACCCAGTCCAGTAATACAATTTTTATTAGTTAGACTTTAAACTAAAAGTTGTGTTAAAATCTTTAGAAACAGCTGCTGCAGCTGGCCCCTCATCTATCGGTTACTTGGGGTCTGAAGTCAAGATAATTTTATTTCTATTATATATTTCTGCTCGCAGGGCTCCTTTATTTATAGATGACACATTTACAGCAACTACTGCTCGTTATTATCCCAGGTACCTACTACTATACTATGCTCCTAACCGCGAGATTTAAATTCTACAAAGTTAAGATTTTATCAACAAAGAAATTCACAATTTACACATCAGTGTAAATTTAAGTGGTTTGAGTTTTGGTATTTTCAGACAAGGATAAATGTCCAGAGGAAATGAAGTTGTGTTTAAAATGTGCGAGACGGCCCACAGAAGCTTTATGCTTGATGTTATATTGCCCGAGACGATTCGTATTTGACTCGGAAAAGTTTGTTCTGTTTAAAGTTACTTCCTGTAACTCAAAACTTTTACTAAAATAATAATAATCATAGTTGGACTGATATTTAGGGGAAGTTTGAGAGAATTGAGAGATTGATGGATCTTTTAGGGACTAGACCGAGCAAAAAATTCTCTTGTTTAGACTATTTTTAAATTTATTTATCTAGTCAATGAGTTTCTATTATTGGTTCAAATTTTCATTCATTCATTTTTTTGTTATTATGCTTTTAAGACCTTGCAGAGAAGCTTCTTTGTTTTAAATTTTATTTTTTTAGTATTAATTAAAGAAGAAATCGTTAGTTTTGCTACAAAAGTTATAATTTTGGTAGTTTTAATCACACAATGGTCGATTACGGGCTCTCTGTAAGTTACAAATTTTTAAATTAAAAAAAAATTCTTACATAAGATATTTCACACAGTGAAAAATTTTGCGTCATTGCGTTAAAAAATTTTGTGTTAAATATTTAACACTTTTCTGTGTTAATTTAACACAATAAATGTTAAATTTACTCATAAAAGTGTTAAATATTTAACACAAAATTTTATGACGCAATGACGCAAAATTTTTTACTGTGCAGAATAATTTTTTTGCATAATTTGCTGAATAAAAAAAAATTTTCAATATTTCCGACACTTGCACTGTTAAAAAAAAAATTTAACTCAAAAAAAAAATTCATCTTAAATTATATCAAGCAAAAAAATTTTTCAATTACATAAAATTTTTTTGAACTAAAAACAATTTTTAATTTTCTGCAAGAACTTTTCTACTTAATCTAAGATAAAAAATTTTTTTAAAATAATTCTTATTTCAAAAATTTTAGCTTTTAAGTCAAAAGTTAATTTTTTAATCAGCCTAATTTTTAATTTAAAAGTTATTTAAGATAACTTAGACATATACTAAAAGTTTTAAAATAATCTGTATATCTTCAGTAAATCAATAAATTAAAAAAAAAATGATAATAACCAAAAAGTGAAGCAATAAACAGACTGAAAAAAGAACTGGAATGTCTAATTTTACAGAGAATTTAAGATGGTACTTCCTATCCGCAAATAGTGTAGTAATAAATACATAAACACAAAAATACTTTAAACATCTCGGCCTCGTTATCGCGTTACATTACGATCCGGCAATTTAGTGTCTAATGCTTCAAATACCTATTACATACACACCATGGATAATTTACAACAAATATGCCACATGTAATACCAACAAGCCAGTAAATAATGACCCGTGAAAATATTCTGGATCGGAATATTTGCATCTAATCATCATAATGGTTATAATGATTCAAATTACCATATAATAAGAAAATAGTTTAACAATTCAACCTCGGCGTGTCATAATGGCAATAATTATTTGATGATGATGACCTTGTGATGAATAAATGAAAATAAATAAATAAAGTGGCGTGGTATGATTGAGATCCAAGACTTGAGGCGAGACACCTGGATTTTGGCCCGAAGATCGGTAGACAAAAATCCAGACCAGGCGCCGCCGGTTTGTTTGCATTGTATTTGTCAATGTTCTATATATTCTTGTTGGATTTAATTCTTACTGCTTATTCTTCTTTCTGAGAACTCGCGGGCTTACGCCAAAAACGCGGACAGCAGTCAGCTCTCATCCTCGTTAATCAGCTCGAGAATTAAATTCAATAGAATCTTTTTAACTTGATAGGAGCATATATATTTATAAAATTGAACTATTTGGTGGGTATGACTAGGCACTGTAGAGTACCTATAGACGTTTAAGTTACTACTTTGACACTTTGTACTTTGTACTTGTTCAACAGTTTGCCAAATAACCTCTACTCTCAGAGTCTACATCGTTAAATGACCTTTGGACATGCTCTCTATAGATCGGGTTGCACTTTTATCAATTGAATTTGATAGTACGAATCAATTTAAGTAACGAAGTACTTTATTTTTCGTTTTTTACCGGGAAATTTTTTTTTAATAGATAACTGATTTAAGGAAATTTAATTATAATTATTTCAATCGAAAAATTTCTAAAAAAAAATTTTTTTTTTTAAGTTTGTTCATTTAATTTAATTGCTCAATAAAACTCTAGTATTAAGTCTTAAATTTTTAATTTTATTCTTCATTATTATTATTATTATTATTATTATTACTTCAAAATAATAATAATAAATTTTAAGAAAAGATTATTATTATATTATAACATTCGAAATAATTTTAAAGTAGTAATTAATGATCATGAATTAAAATAAGTAACTGAAACTAAATATCTCGGCATCATAATTAACGATAATTTGAATTTTAAGAAAAATGCAGATTATGTTAGTAAAAAAGTAGCCAAAAAAATTAATGTTATAAGTAGATTAAATAATAATGTTATAAATTCTGTTAAATGCCAAATTTATAAAACAATAGTACTGACACATTTCGAGTGCTGCTGTACAATAATATTGAATTATGATGAAAATATTTTAAAAATAAATTACAAAAACCTCAAAATCGCGCTATGCGCATTATATCAAATGTCAATAAGTACACAAGAATAGAATCTATGCTTGAAACTTTAAGTTGGACGTCTGTAAGGCAAAAAAATAGTTTTTAATTCTTGTCTCTTCTCTCTTCATACAAAAAATTTTAAATAATCTGCTTCCTGAATATTTATTAGATGAATTCAAATTTAAAACTGTACACTATGAAAGGAGATCTGCGTCGACTTCAACTTTATCAAAAACCAGGACGCTGACTGCAGAAAAAACTATTGTTTACAGTCGACAATCTCTGTATTGGACCTCTCTGTATTTGATCGCATTCTTCCTCTGTATTTGACGATTTTACACAGCTCTTATGGACCAGGACGAATCAAGTAAAGAAAATGGTCCTGTACGGGCGAGTCAAATACAGAGAGCGCTTACTGTATAGAGGTTTAAATTGGTACAATAAGCTTCCAAGAGAAATTATAAACAAAAAACGAATTAATATTTTTAAAATTGATTTGAAAAAATATGTAACGGAGAATAAAATAATCAAGGGGCTTTTTGATATCATGAAACGTAATTGATATATATTTGTATTTGAGGAGCTGATTTTCAAAAGGGTATCTTTTTATATTTTAAAAGACCAGTTTTCTGAACTTTTAAATATTAATTACTTCGAGAATTATTAAGATTTTTAAATGAAAATCGAATTGCAGCTTCATAACCAATAGCACTTTATAGCTAAATTAAAAAAAGTTCAATACAAATATTTATAATTGAAGATAACCAGTTTTTTGTCTCGATTAATTAAAAATGAAAAGATACCCTTTTGAAACTCCGCTCCTCATTTATGAGTTTATATCATAATGTAATTGTAAACGACTTGTATATAGCTAAATAGCTAAATAAACTATTATTATTATTATTATTATTATTATTATTATTATTATTATTATTATTATTATTATTATTATTATTATTATTATTATATCAAAAATAATTTTGATCATCAAAATCTTCAAAAGTAACTGATAGTAGTCCAAAAAAAAATGTAAAACGGAAATTAATCCTCAGTAAGCGGACGCAATGAAATGATATTTTTTTATAATAAATCTCAAGGATAAACGGATGCGGGCTCTAATAAAAAAGCATCAGTCTCCCATCACGTATATAGTATAATTTAAGACACACCCGAAAGTACAAAGAAGAATAGCACTGGGTGAAGAAGAATACACCATCGATTGCCGATGTTGAAGAGGTTAATTTACAGATAAGGAGTGACTGTGCTCTTTTATTATTTACCTCTATGATACTTATCGACGGGTCATGAGACATGTAAACTCGATTATTACACCACATATACACACATATATATATCACGTATGATATGAGAACAATGGGAGGGCTATGCCTCACTATTAGATATTACATAGCTTCTTATTACTTATTTCCGATGCGAAATGTAATTGACCCTTCATCGAGGCATGTCGATTAATGCTCCATTATATATTATCCGCATTATCAATTTCCTACCCCGTTTTTCTGACCATAAACGCTTATGAGTATATGTATGTATATTTACATGCTCATAACCACTTTAGTTATGAATTTATGAACATTAAAAATAAGTTATTTATAATTTATATGCGAGGGGTAGCAAAGTAAAAATCCGCTTTTTAAAATGCGTCTGCTGATTATTATTTCTTCTCCTTCTCGAGTATTAAACTCCGTAGACGTCGAGACGCCATCCAAGACACACTTTGTCATGTGGTAGCGTTTCAGATATTCTTTGGCATCGCTAAATTCTTGGAAATTTTTTTTCATTCTTCTTATACATCTTAAGAGCTTCGCTTAGACGCTTTGTATCTTTTTCGCTTATTCTGTATCATATTAGCTCTTAAAATTTGCAATTATTTTGCACTTATTTTCCATAAATTAATTTTTATTAACATTAAATTATTTAAAACGTAATTTCTTCTCTACAGAAGATTTTTTCGATTTAAATAAATATTTCTAATTTAATATAATTTTATGTACTTCTTATAATAATTAACAAAAATAATTGTTTACTTACTGTTAAGACATGTCTGGTTCAGCGAAATGTCCGGCAACGTGGGCATCTGCGTGCTGAAACAATAAAAGTAATTTATATATTATTTGAGTTTTATTTTATATACTTAAGTGTGGTTGGTTTATATTTATTTATGTTTATTTTTTCTCGGTTATTTCTTCAGTCGGTCGAATAGGAGAAAAATAGTTATACTAGAGAGAAGTAAAATAAAAAAACTTTTGAGAGCTTTACGTGACTTTTTGTTAGTTCCGGAAACAGGCCGACGACCTGAAGATAAAAAACTGCAGTAATTTTTTAATGTTCTATTTTTGGGTTTAAAAAATTATTAGTTTTGTTAATTATTTTGAAAATTATTGTTGAACTTTTTTAATTAATTTTAGAAATCAAGAAAAATTTATTTTTTCAATACTAAAATTAACTTTTTACATTAATATAAATTGTTAATAATTAATAATTAATTATTAATAAATAATTTAATTCCAAAAATTTTTGTAATTAAAAAAATTATTCAATTTTTTAGAAATAATTAAATTTTTTTTATCAGCATAAAAATAATCAGTTTTTTTACAAAATTTTTAATTGATGTTTAAATCAATAGTTTTTAATAAAAATAATTATCTTTACATTAATAGAAAAATTAAATTATTGATAAATTTATTTATAAAAAAATAATTTTTTTAGTATAAAAAATTTTGTTAAGTAAAATTTTTAATAAATTCTTGAAAATAAAATTAAAATTAAATGTTTTGAAATAAAATTATTAATAAATTTTTTTTAATAAAATATTTATTATTAAAAAAATAAGCTGTTATAAAATAATAAATTATAAAACACATTTTAAATACAACAAAGTGTTCTAAAAAAAACTTCAGACAGTAAAATATCAAAAATAAATCATCGAAGAAGTGTAGGATTGTATACAGGTGTATGAAGTTATAAATTAACATGGGTAATGAGGAAGCAGTATAATTTCCAGTAAATTTTAATATAGACCTCGCGGAAAAGACCCAGTTCCCTCGAAAATTTCTCATCTCCGAGAAATAGTGAATGAATAATTATAACTAGCTCACAGATGTACTAATTGCAATGGTCCCGCTTAATCACTCATGCTGTTACTCTTGCGCTTATTTTTCTTACTGTCCATTGTCCAAAAAATAACTTCCTTTGAAGTGGAATCTTTGTTTTTCTTAAGCCAAGGAATGCAATGATTCACTTTCAAGTCTAAGGAGTTATTGGACATTTGTCACTTATCAATTATCAATAGTGAGTACTGAGTACATACACATGACAATATTATTGTGTTTACCGAGTGAAAAATATTTATTTTAAGTCTTATCATATTGTATGGTAAAGATTGAACATTCTTTCAAGTTTTATGCTTCATATTTTAGATAAATTTATATTTCTTTTAGTTAAAAAAAAAATTATGTACTGACCTTTGTTGTCATAAGTTTAATAATGGATTACAATATATTTTTAGAAATATATATTGTATCTTAAGCTTACAAGATAAATATTTTGATTGCGCATCAACTTTGCTTCTTGGAAATAAATTTCAAGAGCTTAAACTAAATTTAATTAATAAAAAATTTTAATAATTTAATTTTATACTTTTCTGTCAATATTTTAAATGATAAAAAAATATTATTAAAAAATTTTAACAGAAAATAATTTAACAATTTTTTAAATAAATTATTTTTAAACAATTGGCTCGATATAATTTTAGCAAATATTTAACAAAAGTAAATTTATCTGACATTATAAAATTAAGTAAGAGCTATTTTCGCAGATAAAATTTTTCCTTTCAATAAAAACATCCAAACAGTGAATTGAATAAATAAAAGAATTTAACCGAGGATGTACTTAAATACTTGTCCAGCCACTTAATTCATGTAGGCGAGAATAACTCTCTCTAATAACATCAATTTAACTTATCAATCCTCGAATTTACGCTCAGCCGCCAGGGCAATTTATAATTTACACCTTACAAAATAAAATAAAAAATAATCTTATTCATTCTCATATCATAATTCAGAATAGACTGTTAATTAGTCACAACAATTAATTTTATTCTTAGAAGTGCTAGAACACGTGTACGCTTGCGCTTAAGAAATTAAAACTTATCTTTATCCCAACACATCTCAAGTTAACTATTACACCTTATAAACATATGCCTTATATATTACATTTTTTATATATAATTTAATCATCCATCATCACAGATACTCACTTAACAACAAAACAATAAATTATTTCCCAGTTTTATTACTACAGTAGATAAAAATAATTTTTTCAAGATGGTCGCTGATCAATACTACACAGATCTGGACCAATGCAGCCTCTAGATACATTTTTTTCCACTACACACTCTAATAATTCTCAATTCTAATTAATCAAAATTTTTTTATTAATTTTTCTTTTACAAAAAAAAAAAAAAATGAATAAAATAAATTTTTTTTATACTTGACAAATTTTTACTTTTATTTTTTTTTTAACTTCATACAAAAACTAATTAATTTTATACTACGTATTAGTTAAAAAAAAAAAAAAATAATAATAATGTTCAATATGTGACTTGAAGATCGGTGTTTTTACTTAATAATAAGTAATAATAAAGAGTTAGTTATTATTTTTAACTTAGATACCCGATTCAATTTAGACTACTCAATTTTTATTATTAATCTTTCACCACAATATTTTTTGGTATAAGATCTTATACTGTCCTCAGCTGACAATACAATAATTAAAATTTTGATTTCAAAACAAATTTATGAGAATTGTTTAAAGATAGAATTATCTTTAGCGTAACCAAAAAATCCAGGCTCGAGTCCTGATTTGGGCTGTTCGAATTATTTTTTCGGTTTCCGAAAAAAGTTTCACTGAGTAAACAAATTCTATCTTTAAAAAATTCTAATAAATTTGTCTTGAAATCTAAACTTTAATTATTGTATTTTTACCTGAGGACGGTATAAGATCTCATAGCAAAAAATTTTGTGGTGAAAGATTAATAATAAAAATTGAGTAATCTTTATTTTGGATCGGGTACCTAGGTTAAAAATAATAACTAATTCTTTATTTATTTATTTTTTTTTTTATTTATTCATTTATTCCCAAAAGATATATAAATATACATACATACATAGATATAGTACATTTAAATCCTATAGAGGAAAACATAATGTTTCCTGTTCATAGGTTTGGGAGGAGTGAATAGGGATATATGATTTACATGAAATACCATCATATATGCCTATTTAACAAACATAAACTTAGTAATTAATAGATCTAACTTATTTAAAGATAAATTGTGAAGCGAAAAAATTTTATGAAAAGTACCATAAATATTTTCAAAAACAATTACTCAGAAAGCGTATAAAAATATTTGTAAAGTTAATAGTTGCTCTTGACTAGACAGTAACCATTTTCTTAGATAGTATTTAATTGATTTAGTTAACGTTACAGCATTTTTTATTTCATTTGGTAACAGGTTAAATAATAACAATAATAATGAAAATTAAATTTTTAAAAGTCCGCGCCAAAATAAGCTTCGCAGAAACTACTTCAGGTGTCAATACAATTCACGCTATGTTTTTTCTTTGTAAGTTTTGGAATATTTTTGGCAATTAAAAAAAATTACAAAAGAATTAATCAACAATTTTTAATATCGCTCATCTTCAGAAAAATATTAATTTATAAAAAAAATAACCAAAGCGATCAATTAAGTTATTAAAAAATTATTGTGTTTACAAAATTTTTAACTATCAAATTTTAGCGCTTTCGTTGTTTATTTCTCCAAATTTTTATATTTTCTTCTTTAAAAATCATTTTTTGTCTATAAACACAATTATTAAACTGATTTTAACAATAGTAAAATCAATAAAAAATAAAATTAACATAAAAAAATGAAAGATAAACATTTAAAGTAAAATTTCCTGAATTAGCAGGCCGTCAACCGAGCAACCAATTTGCCGTAATTAAAGAATTACCCCCTACCCAGAGGACTGTTATTATTAAATCAACTTTAATTGTAACTTAAATTTCCTCTACTCCATATCTACTTGAACTCACATCACAATATTATAACGTGGGAGCATTGTTTACTCATATTTTTTGTTTACAGTTAACTTCCGTGGGCGACGATAGATTTGTTCTACCGTCTATCGGTCACACACATAATGCAACAATGCATTTATGTATTACATTATAAGTAGTTACTTACAACTTATAACATATTGCATAAATAAATAATGGTGGATTCAAGGGGGTCAATCAGATGCAGATAGAACGTGATACCTTTGTGCCGTTTCCGCGTGGGTATATCTGCTTTCAATTCGTCTAAATCTTTCATACAATTTCTACGAGATCAAGAGACATACATTCTCTTTAATTAATTAACAAATTAAATTAAATTGAATAATAATGATGGAAAATTTTAAAACTTACTTCTTAAACGGACTGACGACATTAGTCCAACCGTTTGTTCTCGTAGGAGATGTCGGACTAATCCGTCCATAAGAAAATGTACTACCACCAAAAAACATTTTTAAATTGTTTGTTTTTAATTATTTAATTTATAACAATTTTTTTTTTATACTTTATGGCTTAATACTGACTACGTTGTACTTAAACTCTTTGGCACGTTTGAATTTGGCTTAGTCAGTCTTTAATAAAAAAAATTATTCTGTTAATTGATTAATTTATTAATCAGTCTTTGTAAATTAATTGTTTGTAAAAACACTTGAAATATAATAACAACACTTTAGAATAGTTTTAATGTTTTTTAATCAATTAATAAATTATTAATTGATTGATTGATTGGTCACTCGTACGGAGATTTATATTTTTTAACCATTGTTTTTTTAAAAAAGAGTCTGCGCTTTACGGAGGGTCTTGCTTGTCCCATTTTAAGAAGCGCGACAGATTAAATTTTTTAATTATAATTTAAACTGTTGTCTTTCTTAAATTGTGGTTATTAATAGATACAGATCGATGTAAAGGTGATTAAAAAGTTTAAGAAATGATATGACTCATCTGGTGAGCGGACGGGAGACAACTAAATACTGTCGACTCTAGCTGCACTGAGAATTACAGAGACGGCGTGGTTGAAGCTGCGACGTACTCTAATGGGGGATGATTTCGGAGGTTTGGGGGGAGAATGTGGATATAGAAGATACTAAATACATATGTAGTGGCGAGTATGTAGTATATGTATGTTCTATCACTGATCTGTAGATTCTACTATTATACAGTAGTGTATGAGTATGATGTGCTCTACTGCTAACTAAACTGGGGAAGAGGCTGTATCGTCATCTGCATCGATCAGGGGACTCAGTGGTGCTCATATTGTTTTTCTGAAGTTACATGTAATGGGTTTATCTTGATCTAGATTAATAAACTTATTTTTTTACTTAGTGGATTTTATTATTATTAAATTAACATTGCAAATTTAACAAATTTTTTTTATGGCTCAATAATAATAATAATAATAATAATAATAATTTTGACTTAGAATTTTACAATAGTTTAAAAATTATTATTATTATTATTATTATTATTATTATTATTATTATTCTTTACTTAAATTTTCAATCAAAAAATTTTACTAATATTTAAACTGTTGTAAAATTCTAAGTTAAAATTATGATTTTTGTTATTATTATTATTTCTTGCATAAAATTTTTAGTTTAATTATTAATTGATATTATAAAATTCTAAAGATAATAATTTATAGTTATCAGTCATACCAAATTTTGAAATAATTAAATAAAAAAAAAAAATTATACAATTTAAAAAATACTTCAAACTCATAATTTTTGGAGGACCAGCAAATAAAATAAAAAGTGAAGCAAAAAATGTGATTCTAAAATAATGACATTCCAGGTGCACAAATAGTGATTATAAACTATCAATTAGTAATTATCAATTACTAAAAATTTTTTCTTGTTGTTTTTCTCTTCTCTCAAATCTCTTAAATCTATCTTCTCTTTACAGATGCTATTCATTGTATATAAACATTAACTAAACATTCTACACATAAAAATGTAACATATTGTTATAAATTGCCGAGGGCGTTTCTTTACAAATAAATAAATAAAAATAAATTAATTTTGTCTATAAGCTTTTAAAAAAAAATAAATTAGTAAAATCTGCTTTATAAAATATTAAAGAAACTAATATTAAAGAAGCTAATATTTTTATAAAATGATATAAGTTTTTAAACAATTTTAGAACTAAAAAACCCTATGAATAATATATACTTTGTACTTTTGTTTGTATACATAAAAGAAAATGGTGTATAAAGATAAAATTTTATGAGACTTTTGCACTCATACGGACTAAATATACCCATTATTTTGATTTTATAAATGCTATTTTAAAAACCCACTAACAGTCATTTATTACAGCAAAACAATGAAACTAAATGATTTTCATTAAATTTTTTACACCCAAAAAAAAATGTTTTCAAATAATAGACCAATAAAAGTAACAAGCGGTAATTAATAAATCGTTATTGTCGTGCCTAAGATTTATTTACGCGTAAAATTTGCCGCATTGCAATATTGATCTTTCTGTAAGTATATTTCAAGGACAGAGCTTGCATGTTTTTGATCAGCATTAATTTTAATACCCAGTTAATTTGTTCCTGAAGTTTTCGTCGATAGGAATCATTCTTACCAATTAAATTACATGCTTGCGTTTCAGATTTCTTAATTTTTATTAAATAAGCTGCGTAGTTACGGTGGAACTCAGTTTCCAAACTTTTGATTACTTTTATCGGGACCGTGTAATCAATTATTGTTATACAGGTCAGCACTTATATCAAATTAATACTGACGGCTTTTATGAACACCACTGAATCATACATGACCTCTGACCCTTGATAACTTTAGAGTAAATAAAAAGTAAAAACAAAATTCTGTTTGTTATCAATTCTTAAATTGTCGAGAGCTGAAAATTAATAAATATTATTTAGAGCGCAGTTGTGTGGATAAAAAATAATTTTACTTTATAATTAGATAGGATAATTATTCAATAAATCATCCTTACTCATTTGCATATTTCATATGCGTTTACTTATATATATATATATATATCTATTAAGCCATTTTACAATTTAAATTAATTGATAAATTATTACTGACAATTTAGAATTAAAAATATCAATCAGTTTAAATTGACTGAAAATTATTAAACAAATTTATTATTATTCATATCATTCTTTTTATTTTTACTTCTATAATTTAAAAAATGGAAATTTTTTTTAATTTATAAAAAAAAATTAGTCCTTAAAATTAACACTTGCAATGTTTGAAAATTTTTAGATGGAAAAATTTAACCAAATTAGAACTAATTATAAACACAGTTAGAAACAACGTATTTCAGCGTATATGTGGTCGGCCTATTTATGGCCATCATTGAATGAAGAAAGTGACTATCCCAAAAAATAAATTAGAACTTTGGATTTTAAAATAAATCGGAGATAAATACAGAACAGCGATCACCAGGTCAAAAATTTATACAATTCAACGTTAGAAAAATTAGTTTAGAAAATTAAAAAACACGCTTTAATAGACAACCAATCTAAAAAGTAGAAAATAGTTTTAAATAAAAATAATTTTTTTGTAAAAAAATGTATGACTGAAACCAGTAGATATTTCAAATTTTTTTTTACTTTTTTCATTAATTTAATTAGAGCTAAAAAAATAGTTTTTAAAAATTGCACCCATTGTTTCTTAAAAGTTTTTACATATGGAATTTAAAAAAAATTTTTTGTAACAAATTTTTCAATAAGATTTTTAATGTAAAAAATTTTGATAATTTACATCAATCATCAAAAAATTATAATTCATAATATTTCTAAATTATCAAAACTTATTATATTATTTTACTGTCATAAGTTGTTGATAAGTGTGCAAAGTTTCATGACACTAAAATTAGCACACTTGAAAATTTTTGTATTTTTCTTTAAAAATAAAACCAAGTCTAGAAAATTATTTAAAAAAAAATTGCATTTGTAATTTTTTAGAGCTTCTAAAGATGGAATTTTTTAAATAAAAATAAAATTAATTTAGCGGATATCTAAAGATGGAATTTTTTAAATAAAAAAATAAAAATTAATTTAGCGGATATTTAATAATCTTAAGAATTTTTTAACAAATAAATTATGGCAAAAAAAAAAAACAAATAGAAATTTTAATAAATTAAAAATGCAATTTTTTTTTAACAATTTTTCAAAACAAATTTGTAATGATACCAAAGTTAGCCGACGTTTTTAATTTTTTGATTTTTTTTAATAAATTAAATTAGAACAAAAAAAAACATTTTTAAAAAATTGCACTTACAGTTTTTAAAGTTTTTTTCAAATGAAATTTTTTTTTTATTTTTTTGTAATCATTTTTTTAATGAAAAAAAATCTTAAAAATTTTTAGATTTCGCCTAACTTAATTTTCATAAATTTGTAAATTAAAAAAAAATTAAAAAACGGTCAAGACTGCTAACTTTAATGACATAAAAAAATTTTTGCTGCTTTAATTTATTTATTAAAAAAATTCTAAAAATCATCAGATGTCTCTCAATTTTAGTATCATCAAAGTTTCAATTTAATTTGACATTGTGAAGAGGGTGAAAATCACGTTGAATGATTCTGTTACACACAACACATATCAAATTAATATAAAGCATGTAAAAAACTTACATTTCAAAGTTGATCGTCGCGTTGGTCTCATCTCCGAATCCGTTGATCATCGTGCTGCACTTTATTTTATCCACTAATTAGATGAATTAAATTATTAATGACAAATTAAAAAAACACTCAACATTTACTTTATTGCTCATCACAACAATCCCACCGCGTGCTTACAAACAAACGCCGAGCTAACCGTTAACCTTTTGAATCTTTGTTTAGTACGCTTCCGCTAGAGGCGCTCGAATCGCGCCTAGTTTTTTTAATTGTGTAATCTAGTAAGTTTTTTTTGTCATAAGTAATTATAATTATTAATAATTACAATAATAATTTAGTGTCAAATTTTTTTTAAGAAAAAAAAAGTAATTAAATAATATTTTTTTTAAACAAAAAATGACATTCTGTCAAAAAATTACTGACTTTTAAAATGACATTTTAAAATATCCTCGCCAGAGGCGCTGTCACATTTATTCTGTCATCTTGTCATCTAGTAATTTATATTTAATAACTATTATATTATAATATAATTATAAATAATTGTAAAAATTAATTATTAAAGTAAAAAGTAAAAATGTCAATTTTTATCAAGAAGAAATAATAAAATTATAAAATAAAAAAATAATGAACGAGTACCTGAAATTAACAATTATAATTATTTTATCAATAATAATAACCAGCTGCATAAATTTATTGATATATAAATTAACTTACGTGATAATGTGGACCCTGTTGGTTGGATTTTGTGCTAATTTTTTGACAAACATTGAATTGAACAAGAAGTAATATCTTCCCGGGTTTATTTGAACCTGTTACGTCACCTATTAAATGGCAGCTAATGGCTGGTGTCATTGAATAGTTTTCATCACCCATCACGATCACTCGTATCGGTGTTCTCGGTGTATGGGCAATAATGTAATAAGAGTTGGGAGCTCCAGTGCCGTGATGACAATTAACACGTAGTCTAAGTAAATAAAACCCAGAAAGACATATGTGAAGCTATGGAGTTTTTTTTAAACATTATTATTTTAATTGTTTGTTTGGGATAAGGACTATGGATCTGTGAGTTTTCTGTGTGACGTTGACAGGTGGGACCTGTCATTCTCTGATTTAACAATAATAGTGGTAGTTTTTAGGCAAGAGAAGAGTTTATTACACGAGGGATTGTCTTTGTAATTAATTACGATGTTTGCTAGTTTAAAAAATAAAATAGGCAAGGAAATAGGCAATGACGTTACTGCTGTTGTTCGACACGCTGGATCTGTACGTGGTATTAATTCCAGACATGTATCACAGGTAATTTTTTTTGTATTAATTATTCTATAATTATTCATTTTTTTTTATTGATTTCAGGTATGACTTGGTCTTTTTTTTTTCATGTGAAAAATTGTCATCAAATTTTATCAGAAAAATTTTTTTGATACTGCAATTAGGACTGACAAATTTTTATAGGATTTAAATAAATTATTTATACAATTTTTTTAAGTAGTAATAAAAAAATCAACTGTTTCCTGATTTAAATTTAATTTTTAAATTAATTTATTTGTAATAAAAAAAATCCTAAAAATTTATAAATTTCTGATAATTTTTATGAAATTGACACTCAAAAATTTTATGAAAATAAAAATAAAAAATTTCATCATTAAAAAACTTGAAAAACTGTAAGTGCAATTTTTAAAAAATGTTTTTAAGTTCTAATTTAATTAATAAAAATAAATCAAAAAATTAAAAACGTCGGCTAACTTGAGTATGATAAAAATTTTTTGATTTTTCTAAAAAAATAAACCAGGTCTAGAAAATAATTTTTAAAAAAATGCATTTATAATTTTTTAGAATTTTTACATAAAATAATTTTCAAAAAATTATTTTACCTTTTATTAGATACCATGCGTGTATTTAATATTTATTTATTCGTTTGTAAACGAGCCAACAGTCAACAGGCTCTTAAATTACATCGCCTTAGTATATTATATCTCAAACAAGCTTAGATAAATAAACTCCTATGCATAAATATCAAGAATTACACAAAATAGAGAAAAAAAAATATTTTTATATTGTGAGTAAAATATTTAAAATTTTTCAGACGGGATCATCGAGTAGCGTGAGTGGATCTCAGCTATCCTTGGACGAATCTCAGGAGAGCGCAGTGTCGCCGACAATAAACATAAAGCGAGAAAACAGTTTCGAGTTGAAGTTGAACGATGGGACGGAGTTGTCGAGCAAAGACATCAAGAGACTGGAGAGCAGAGAGGACGAATGGAGGAAAAGATTGGCGAAAAAAGAGCTCGAGTGCCAGAAGAAGCTGGACAAGAAAGATGAGGAGTGGAAAATTAGGATGTTTGAGCGCGAGAAGGAGTGGAAGAAGAATGTAGAGAAGCTGGAGAAAGACAAACAGAAGCTTGAGGACGGAAGACTGAAGGCGGAAAGTGCCAAGCAGTTGTTGGAGACCGCTTTGCGGGATGCAGAAGGTATTGAAGATTAATTTTTATTATTTTTAATGAGGATTAATGCTAATCAGATTATTTTTTCAGAGTACAAAAAAAAGCTGTACAGCTTTCAAGAAGACGCGGAGCAGCTGGAGGGGTTCCAGACTCAAGAGATGGCTAAAATTAAACACTTGGTATGGATTTGTTTGATTTATTGTTTTTTAGTGTGACCTAATTATCGATTGATCGGCAGTTGCTGGCCAAGGAACAGGAGGTCGAAGAGAAGACACATAATTTGAAAGCCGCGCTCGCGGAAATTGACAATTTGAAAACCGAGTTATCGAGATTGAGACGCTATGAACAGGAATTAAATGACATTCAGGTAATTTTTTTAATTTATTATTACTGAGTGAAGTTTTTTATTCGTTGGGTTTATTAAAAATAATTAAGTTAATTTTTTTTCAACATATAAAATTTATTTTCAATTTAACTAATTATATTTTCATTTTAATAAAAAATAAATTAACTTAATTATCGAAAAAAAAAATTACCAACAGTTTGATTTTGTTGCGTCAACTAAACCATTTTAAAATTCTACTAATTTTATTTTATTTATTTTTATTATTAAAATTATTTGATAGTAATTTGCTTATGTCCGTTTGATTTCCGTAAAAAACAAAAAAAAAAAAACGGGGCTTTGCAATGAAATTGCCCAGGCTTAAAAGTGTATAAGAAATTGTGCTTTGTGTTCTTCTGCATATTACGCACTATGCCGTTTTATTTATTATTTTATACACAGCATTTTACACGAGTTAGATATATCGTCGATCTAAATATCGGCCACAAAAAAAAAATACAATACGATATACAAAACATTTTAAATGTGCAAGAAGACATCGAAGATGAGATAGTTATAAGACTGCTACTGCTGAGCTAGAGGTACGTTTTTTTTTTTTTTAGCTTATCCGCTAGCTAAATTTATTTATTTGAAAAAAAAAAATAAAATAATTTTACTAGCACGGGTTTTAAGGCTGTATAAAATTAATTTTTAATTATTCAAGGGGCATGTGTGGTTAAGGGTTAAGGGGGATAGCCGCTGTGAGAATCGAAAAAATAGGTGATTTTTGGGAATTTTTTTTGACCGGGATATTAAAGGAATTTGGGGATTGGGTTTTTTTGTTTTATAAAGTATACATTGAAAATCATTCTCCTAAATTTTGATTAAAAAATATCATGTTGTGAAAAAGTTATAAGCTTTTTTGTGGAGCATCAAAAAAATTTCCCCAACCACGGTGGGATCTCTAACTCAAAAACGAATTATCTAAAACAAAAAAATGAAACAGTGTTGTAATCTGCATGCATGTGGTTATCGTTGCACGTAGGGAATTTTGAAAATTTGGATTTAAAAAAAAAATCGTGACATATTACAAATTTTTTCGTTTTTTTTTTCTCATTTTTTTGGATTCAAACAGCCCTAAAAAATCTTAAAAATCAAAATTTTCAAAATCCCCTACTTGCACCTATAGCTTCTGAATAGACGAATATGGAAAAAAAATTGCAAATCGGTTTATATTTATGCAAATTACAGATCCCACCAGTTCAAAAAAAGTAGTTTTAAGAAAAATGCATTTTTGTCGGAGCATCACGCATGCAATGGTCATTTGACCCGCTGTCACAAAAATGATTATAACTCGAAAAATATTCAGAATTTTTATATAAAACTCTAGATACATATTTTTGAATGTATAAACTTTGATTTAATAAAAAAAAAATTTTTTTTTAAATTTCACAGTGGTTATCCCCCTTTATTGATAAAAACTGGTTTTGTCGCTTTAAATAAATTAATAATAATAATAATAATAATAATAATAATAATAATAATGTTCTTTATTTTTATTATTTTAATCTACTAAATATAATTACTAATTGCTTTCTGTGTGATAAGTAAGAGCTTAAATAATTTATCAATTGATAATACAATGACTAAATAAATTCCAGGACAAAATGGAGTCACTGCGACACACGACGCAGCGTGAAAAATCTCAACTAACCGGCGATCTGGAACACACGAAAGAGGAAGTGCGTCACTTACTGACAAAAGTATCCGTTCTGGAACAAAGACTGGCCTTGGAGTCGAACGACCAGTCGACGGTCGACGACAGAATCGCGGATCTGATGAGAGAGCGCACTCTCTTAGAGCGCAAGTTGGAGGAGACGCACTTGCATTTGTCGGACATTAAGACCAGCTGGTCGAGCACGATTTCCAACCTAGAAACTCAAGTCGGCCGGCTCAGCAGGCAAGCCGGGGAAGAGGGCCTCGAGCGACGCCGCGTTGAGGAAGAAAACGATAAATTGAAGCTCAGGATGAAGCAACTCGAGGAAAACATAGAGGTGAACAATGTTGTTATGGCAACTAAAGACGCTAAATTGTTACGCATGGCTGAAAGCATCGACGAGATGGCCACGGAACTTAAAGAACTCCGGGCCAGCGTTGATGATGAGGTCGAAGAGTTTAAACGACAAATAGTGAGTTACCGCGATGTCTGAATGTATGATTTATTCAAGGCTATGCATGCGTTTGTTTTTCGCTACACAGAAAAAAAATTTACTTTAGTATTAAGATTGTCCTCATCGCATTTTTTTAATTCCCATAAGAATAAAAAAAAATCATTGGTCAACATTTATCAAAAGTCCAATTTATGTTTGACAAAAAATTTGATCCTTATTTGACACTGAAACCAACAGTTTTGGTGTAATTTATAAAATTCGATCAAATTTTTGAAAAGTTAAACTTTGACTTTGAATTACTTTTGAACGCGTGGACAAATCAAAAAATTTTCTCAGACCTTTTTTGTAGAGCGTTCAATCCTCTGTAAAGATTAGAACAGCGATTTATAAGTCAATCAGTCGTTTGAACGGTAGAAAAATCAAAAGAAGCAAAAAAAATTTTTCCCATGTTATTTATTCTTATGGGAATTAAAAAAATGCGATGAGAACAATCTTAATATTAATATTAAGGGCTCATCTTTTCACAGTAATTTTTTGACACCCAAAAGAAATTTTTGAGCCTGTTTGGAAAAAAAAGAAAATTTTTTTTTTTATCACTAATATAGGAAAAAAATTTACTTGAATCAAAGAAAAACAAATTTTTTTTTCCCTAGAATTTTTTACTTAAATCAAGACATATTTCTTCAAAATAATTCTCTTGGTTTAACAATTTTTAAGTCAAGTTATTTTATTTTTTTTTTCTAATGTATAAAATATATGTGTACATAGAAAAAAAAATTAACTTGAATCAAGTAAATAATTTTGAAGAATTTAATCTTCCAGATTTGAGTAGAAAAATTAAAAAATTTTTGATCCAAGAAAATTTTACATGAATCAAGAATTTTTTGTCTTGAATCAAGAAAATGAAACTTTAAAATTATTTTCTTGGTTCAAAAAATTTTTTTGATTCAAGTTAATTTTTTTTGTGTACCTTAGTTTGTTGACTAATTTGCTGTAGTGTTAATTTAAGTTTTTTTCAAGCTTAGTATTTTTTGAGACTGTTTAAATTTTATTTGCGTTTATTGTATGTTTAATATCAATTATTATTCATTGAACAAAAAATTATTGAAGTTATATATTAGTTTTTTATTATTATTTTTTTTTTATTGTAACAAATCAGAGTTCATTAGTGAAATTGTTTTTTAATTAATTGCTTAGAACTCTGGACAACTAATGTAAGCTATTGAGTAATTTAATGTCCCTAAATAATTTTTACTAGGTCACCAGAACAAAACCCGTATGATATTTGCGCATGTAATGCTTACGCTTTGCACACATTTTTTTTTAATAAATAAATAAAAAAAACGAAAAGGACTTGCTTCATAATAAAACAATCGCTTATCTAATCGAGCATGCGAATAATTAGCTCGATAATTCAACATTAAAAATAATTTTTTATTTTACATGACAGTGGGACAAATTATAGATTTAAAAAATTTTTAAATATAACATATTAAATAAAATATTTAATAATTACTTATTTTTATGTTAAGTATTTTTAATTATGTATATTTTTAAATTTATTAATAAACCAGCAAAGAAACATACTTTTACTATATTTAAGCTTTAGTTTATTATTTTTATCCTTTCCATCCCCGAATCCTGGAGCTTTATTATTTTTACACGTGTGAGAAGCACTAAAAATTATTTACAGGTAAATTGTAAATTAATTGTATCTACACATTGCACGAGTGAATTTAGATTAAGTAAAATAATAAACTTTAATAATAAATTTATAATAAAATTTTTTTTTCTGCCCAGGAATCATCTTCCAAAGAAATAGAGAGTCTCAAGGAGGAACTCGAAGAAGCGGCGAAAAAATTGACGAACTCAGCAAGCGAATTGACAGCTTTAAAATCGTCTTATGAAGCAGAGAAAGAAAACAACTCGACGCTCCACATGCAGTTGGCCCGGCTGAGAGAGAGTTTGGAGGCCGAGAGGACCAACAGCGCGACGCTGAGAGTCAATTTGGAAAAAGAACAGAGTGAGAAGGACTCAGCGTTGCTCAGAAACGCACAAATGTCCCAGAATTTTGAAATAGCTAAGCAGGAACAGCGGACACAGGAAATCGAGAACATCGAGCTGCAAACAAGGCTCGAGAGTTTGGAAGAGTCGCTGAAAGCCGCGAACTCGCTAAAGGATGTCGCGGTGAAAGATTCTGAAGAAATGAAGAACAGGATAATTCAGCTGGAGGCTATGGAGCTAGATAGGAAGCTCAGTCAAGATACTGAGCAAAGTTTGAAGAATAATTTGGCTAATTTGGAAGATCAAATTAATGATAAGAACAAGGTTGGTTTTTATTAATAAAATAAAAGATCTAATTATTGGCACTGGCTTAGTTGTTTGACACTTACAATTTTATTCTAATTAAAGAAATAAAATTTTCTCAAAAAAACAATTTTCTTAAAATTTATAATTAAAAAATTATATTTATTAATTTATTACAGTTGATTTTTTTTTAATTAAACTAAAATTCCAAGTGTCAATAACTGGGTCTTTTACTTTACTGGTCACAAAAATTAAAAAAAAAAAAGGGAAAAATTTTAAAGCTTAAAATATGATTTAATATTGATTTATTTTTATTTAAATAAATTTATAGATTTTTCGAAACTTTTCATCTATTTCAAGACTAAAGTCTTGTTAGATCACAACATATATAAATACACTGAGAGAAAAAAATTTATTTTTAAAAATATGGGCATTTTTTTGTGACCAAAAATTAAATTGTTAGAAATTTTTTAATAATTTTATTTTTTTAGCTGAAGAAATAAAAATTATTCTTACAGTAATTTTTTAGCTAAAAAAATTTTTCTAGATTTGGAAAAAAAGAGAATTTTAAAAAGTTTGGAAAATCCAAAAATGCACGACTCATAATGTTCATTTAACTATGAAATAATAATAAAATTTAAAAAAAAAATACATAAAATAGCTGAAATATGACGATATAGAACCTAGTCTTTTCGTTTTTTTTTTTATTTTATTAATTTCTTCAAAATATTAAAAAAAGAAATTTGACTCAATTAATGGATTTTTTTCATACTTGGACAGGAAAATTTTTTAAACTAATTTGATGTTTTTTTTCCGTTTCTATTGGACTAAATAAATTTTTGCAAAGTATGGAATTAATCTTGATTAAATAATCTTGACAATAGTATTTAAAATATCTTGATTTCGTGAACTAACAAGAGTATAAGGAGTTATCCATAAATTATGTCAAACTTATTTATTAATACTTTATATATACTTACAAACTATATTTATTAATACTTTAGCACTCTTGTTATGAGATTATCTCTCACGTAAGAGCATCTAACTTCTAAAGCGGCATTGTAAAGCAAGTGAGATACTAAAATTCTTAAGAGTTCTGAATAATAAGAGTCTGAGTAGGTTCAAATCGTCGGTGAGTGCTTGCTTGCTTTTGTAAAAAATGAAAATAACTGTTTATTTTTTATTATTTTAAAATATATGCATAAAATTGAAAAATGTGTCACGTAATATCAAGGCGAAGGGGTTCTGAAAACGTGTCAACCTGTGACACAAATGGGGGGAGGGGTTAAAAAGTCCTGAAATTCGTGTGACATAATTTATGGATGGCCCCTAATAATAAAAATAGTTGCCGAAAAAAATTTTGTATCAAAATAAAATTTTTAAATTACTTTAATGTTTCAGACGATAAAAGTTCTTCAGCAGAGGTTAGCGGATATGAAGAAAACTTTACAACGCGAATTACGAGTCCCTTCATCGTCATTCGATAATGATGACTCCGCGGCCATTCTCACTCCTAGCTCATCCAAAACAGTCACTGCCAAACATCCGAACTCTCAAGAGGAAGATGTTAATTTTAAATATCTAAAACATGTCTTAATTAAATTTTTAACTAGCCGAGAATACGAGGTAATTTTTATTTTGTTTTAATTTATGTTTGTGATTTTAATTATTGATTAATTTATTTAAAGGCGCTGCATCTAACGAGGGCTGTTGCGACTCTACTTCACTTTTCACCCGAAGAAGAAAGACTTCTTCAAGAAACTCTCGAGTGGAAAATGTCCTGGTTCGGTACCCGACCTAATTTGGGGTTTGGACAGACCGCGAAAGCCATTCCGCCTAGCTGATAATAAATTACATTTTTTTTTATTAATTATAAATTATAAACATTAATTCGTCCTCGGCTTTCACCTTTAAATTATCACATTCCAATTTTTTAATCGCTATTTATATAAATAATTGTAAAATTAAAAAAAAATTTAATTAATTTTATTTTTAATATATTTATATATATATCGTAAATTTGTTTTATTAAAATTATTTCTAATATTGAGTTTTTTTTTTTATTTTTTGTAAAATAAAAAATATTTACTTTGTTTAATTTTGTGATATTTTTTTTTTTAGTCAATATCGTAAAGTATTAAAATTGTACATCAGCTTAGGCTGACTGTAGACTTAGTAGTAAACTGAAGATTAAAATTTTTGTATATCATAGAAAAAAAAAAATTGATCCATAATTATAATATAAATATTATAAACTATAAGAATCAGATAAATTGTGCCTAATTTAAGTAATTAATTTTTAAATAGACTGTTAATAAAGTTGTACATTACAATAATATTTTTTTTTTTTTATTTATTTACTACCATGCAGAAATAATTAATAAAACTTCAATTTCTTACCAATTTTTCTACTGAAAAGAGGGAATGCTTTACGACATTTTAAAACATTGATATCTATGGTTCCTGGAACAGAAATTAAATTTGTATTACAAAATACTATTCAAGAAAATGAAACAGTATAGATTAATAAAAAAAAATTACTCAGACACTTTCTGGAATGCTTTTTTTGAACATTCTGACCAAGATCGGAAAATGAAATTAGATCCATAATCTAAATTACGATCTTGAGAGAACATTATGTTTTCTGATCCACATCCGGCTTGTTCGTCCAGTTCAACTCCGAACCTTGAAATAAAAATTAATAATTACTAGCGCAAAAATTTTTAAATTCAAAATAACAATTCATAATTGTTAGTTCAAATTTTTGATATTGTGGCAAAAATATTAGTCCTATAAAATTTTTTTTAAACAATAGTTCAAAATTTAATTTTGTAAAAAATAGTTATCAATTTTTTCGTAGGATCAATAATTTCGCTGTAATTTCAAGAGTAAGATTCAGAATAAAAAAAAAAATTTGAACCTTTTATTATGAATATTAATTTTAAAATTATAGCAGAAATATTGATTTTTTTTTTAAGTCATAAGAAACATTTTTTTTTATGAAATTAAATCTTTAACAACTTTTTTGTTTAAAAATTTTTTTTACAGGACCAATAGTTTCGCCGTAATGTTGAAAATTTATTTTAAAATTGCTAAAATTTTGGCTCTAATAATTTCTTAATTAAAATATTAACTAATTCTTATTTTTATTTATTATAAATATTGTAATTACGTTTTAGCAACAACTTGTGCTGCGTATAAGTTACTGTAAAATCCGCCATAGTGGAACATTCCACCGGATTTGTAACTTAAAGCATTACAGCCATATGTAATAGTTAAGCTATTATCAATTTTGTTGAAGTTGCTTTCGTTGCACGGAGGTCGACTGCAAAAAAAAAAATTGTTCCATTCGGATTTACAATTAAACACGTACGAAAAAATTTATTTAGAATTGTTGATCCAAACCTTGAAGCGAACAAATATAAATCATATGGAGTAGTTCTAAATGATTTTTTATTATCTTGCATCCATTGATTTAACTTTTCTAACGTTCCAAGTCCAGGACGACAGGGAGTTCCCAAGAAGCGAGATTTTTCCAAATCCGGTAACCCAAAGACATCTGAGTGCTGTAATTATAAAATTAAAAATTTTTTTATAAAAATTAAAGACTCTGAATTCTTAAATTTTTACTTCAGGGACAATAATTCCTGTAACACTTAATATAATTTTGGGACTTTTTATTTCATTTAATCTAACAGCTGCTTTTTCTAAAGTCTGAAGAACTGGAATTGCCAATTCGTATTTGTCATTGTATAAGTCTCTTAATTTATAGTCAAGAATCAGTAATACATTTTGAACATAAGTATCTGAAAAAAAATTTTTTTTACTGACTTATTATGTTTAGAATTTTTTTTTTTTTCCGAAGTACTTACTGCTGCGATTAGTCTTCGGGTTTCTATAATAATTCCAAGATTCTGAACCTTGAAAAATCTGAAGATATAATTGATAATTAAAAATTATTTTTATAGAAATAATTTATTAAACAAACTTACATTTCCAGAACGTTCAATTCTCAATTGATGGTCGCTTGTATAAAAAGCGTAATGAATTTGGGCCACTGGGCTTAAAAATAAGACCCTTGCTGGTGATGGATCAGGGTCATCCGAGATTGTAGATGATAGTTTGTAACAAGAATAATTAGAATCGCTGCAATGAACACAAAAAAATTTTACAATCTAATAAATTTAATTAAAAAATACAAGTTTAATTTTTGAAAAAAAAAATTACGAGAGTACTCGCTGGAATTCTGATTTTGAACAATTAGACCATTCGAGTGACATATCTTCAAGTTTTGGGATTCCCAGTTCCATTATACCTTTGCAGCCTAACTCTTTGTCGTCTCTAACCCCAAACCTACGGAAGAAATTAATGATAAATTTAATTTACATTTTAGAGTTATATATAATATTTAAGGGGGATAACCACTGTGAAATTTAAAAAAAAAAAATTTTTTTTATTAAATCAAAGTTTATATATTCAAAAATATGTATCTAGAGATTTATATGAAAATTCCGATGAAAATGAAGTTAGCCGACATTTCAAAATTTTTAGAAATTTTTTATTGAAAAAATTTTAATTAAAAAATTAAAAAAAAAATTTCACATGTATTTAGGCTGTATTCGAAAATGCTCTATCTCTAGATACATAATTGAGAAATGACCTTGTATCTCTAGATACATAATTGAGAAATGACCTTGTATCTCGTGAACTATTGACATTTTGAAAGATATAAGCTCATCCCGATGTTACACTCATCAAGACCTTTCATTTGAGTACCCACATCATTTTTTCATATTTTTTATATATTTATATATATGAATATATGAAAAATATATCAAAATGCATGTGGGTACTCAAATGAAAGTTTTTGATGAGTGTAACATCGGGATGAGCTTATATATTTAAAAACGTCAATAGTTATTAAGAAAGTATAGTGCAATTTAACAATAGTCATTATTTAAAAAAGCAAAATTTTATTTATTCATAGTTCACAAATCACGGCAGTCACATAGCGACTGCAAGGTTGCTAGTTTAAATAATTATAATTAACATAATAAAATTTTTTATTAAAACTTACATTAACTTTGCGCCTAACTGTTATATTGTTACTTCCCTTCAACCGGTCTACATAATAGAGTCCAGTTTCTGGACTGACTATCAAATGTGTAATAATTCCATCAAAAGTCCGAGCTGGTCGAACAGCATCAGAAATATCAAAATTTCCAGCACTCAATATTGTTAAAGCTGCGAATAATTTCAGCATATTCTTCTTCGATATCAAAATATCTAGACAAAAAATTATTGTACCAGGGAAAAAAAATAAAATAAACTACGTTGTAGAAAATTTTTACATACTTTAAGTATAATATTGAAAATGATAATAAAATAATATTACCTTAAAAATCACTATCGGTATCGTTATTAACGACTTAAATTTTATGTCATCTTCGTGTGCTTTTAACATAATCTTTATTTTTATTATAAGTTAGTAATATATTAAATCATGATAATTTTATTTGATAACAAAACTACCAATTTCTAATTTTACTTACCAATTAAATTATTTTTAAATAATTGCATTAATATTTTTTTTTAAATTAAAACATTGAACAATTTGAAAATTTTTATTATTAAAATTATGAAAATTAATTCAGTAGATATTTGATAATTTAAAAGAATTTTTGTAACAAATAAACTATGGCAAAAAAATGGAGCAATAAAATTGACATGTAGAAAATAAAAAAAAAAATTACAAATACAATTTTTTAAAAATAATTTTTTTCGAACAAATTTAGTTGTTAAAAATGTTCAAGTGACAGTTAATTAACTTCAATGATGTTACTAAAGTTAGACGACATTTAACAATTTTTAACTTTTTGAATCACTAAAAATAATGAGTAAAAAAGTATTTTTAAAAAATTGCATCTAGAACTATTCAAATTTTTTTAAAATAATTTTTTCAATAAAAAAATGATACTGAAAGTTAGCTATCAGTTGTCAATTTAAAAAATTTTTATAACAAATCAATTATAATAAAAAAATGCTTCTAAAAATTTTCACTTGTAATTTTTATTAATTTTCACATGTAGAATTTTTCAGTTAAATTTTTTTTTATAATAATTTAATTGCCATAAAATTCTAAAAAAATGTTTAATGTTTGTCAACTTCAGTGTCATAATAAAAATTACACTTAGAACTATTCAAATTTTCTACATGTCAATTTTTTTTTATTAAAATCAATTTAGCAGCTATTTGATAATTTTAAGAATTTTTTTAATAAATAAATTAAGTCAAAAAAAAATGAGTAAAAAAATTGACATGTAGAAATTTTAATAAATTAAAAATGCAATTTTTTAAAAATAATTTCTCGGAACAAATTTGCTTGTTAAATAAAATTAAAAACTTGTGAAATGACAGCTAACTTTAATATCATTTTTTTTTTTAATAATTTTTTAAATAAAAAAAATTATAAAAATTTTTAGATGTCAGCTGATTTAATTTTCATACTTCAATGACATGTCAAAATTTATTTATTAAAAAATAATAAAATGTCGCTCAATTCCAGCATATGACAAACAAACCATTCTTTTCTGCTGTCATTTCCAACGAGCGACAAACTTCCATGCCCCACCAATGAATTTCTTCTTAAAACTGACCCACGTGACATCATTTCGCGAATAAGGCCAATAGCAATCCAGAATTCCGCGCCTGGTTTTTAAATTAGCCCAATGAAATTCTCGAATTTCAATAACATAAATAATGAGCGAGGACCAGAACCAGCCGCAGCTGATTCTGGCCGAGTCTTAAGTCCAAGATTCCACTTTTTTTTTCTCGGTATTTTCTTTTTTAAAACAGCTCACCTCGTGCACGTTTTTATTCCCAGTGACATTTAGCAACCAGCCGAGCTGCAAAAACAATTACCCGGTAAAAAAAAACATTTATTATCCTAAAAAAAATTATTTTTAATATTCGCCAAAAATCAAAGCTATAACCTGCATTACGGTTAATGTTCTGATAAAGAATATCGATAAAATATATTTAAGTAAAGTAACGTAGTAGTGTATAGTGTAGTGTTGAGTACATACTTATATATATCACATACATATATATAGGTATATTATAATACATATAAAACAGACACTATTCACATTACGACCACGCGACGTAATGCAGTTGCTCAAGTGAAATTTCAACGTAATAACTTGGGTTACTCTTAAATTCATATAAATTTATTTATATAAATTTAGTATTTTATTTTTAATAATAGATTTATAAATAATATAAGTTTTTTTTTAAAAGGAACCGGCATTAGCAGATTTATTGAACGGGCTGTTTCGCTGGATTATTTAAAACAAAAAGTTGATTTTGGTTAGTGTTAAAAAATGGCCGCTGAAATGCAAAACAAGAATCGGATGATGGTATTCAAGAACAAAGGCAAAGATCAGGATGTAAGTATACATTTATTACTTGTAATATCATTTTTATTATTATTATTATCATTATCACCTCCGACAATAATTATTAAATAAATTTTTTTTTTTTTTTTTATTAAAAGTCAGTTCGAATTAGGCGTGGAGACTAGAATGTTCTCGACGGTTTAATTCACATATGATGATAATAATTATTTATTAATTTTTATTTTGTCAGTAATTACTCTCATGAGTCATTAATATTCTTGTCGTTTTTTTTTGGTATACTATTTTTGGTGACATGGAGTAAGAACCACGTGGAATTAATTTATATTTATTAACAATGTATTTATTATTATTATTATTATTATTATTTTTATTTTTATTAATAATATTGTTTATTTTTTTTTATTAGGAAATGAGAAGACGAAGAAATGAAGTGACGGTAGAGCTGAGGAAAAATAAACGAGAAGAAACTTTACAGAAGCGCAGAAATGTTCCGGCTACTGAATCTACGGGTAAAAAATATTTATTTATTTATTACGAAATAAAAAAAAAATATTGCATCACGTATTTTTAAAATTGGAACGTGATGAAAAAAAAATTTAATTAATTTTAATTATTAATTTATAATATATTTATCACGCTATAAATTTCAGATGAAGATGATATCGAGAAGACGTTATCAAAAATAAATTTATTGGAGTTGGTACAAAAGGCAGCGAGTTCAGACCCCGCTGAGCAATTGGCGGCTGTACAATCCGCCAGGAAGTTATTATCATCCGATCGTAATCCTCCAATTGATCCGTTAATTGAGAGTGGTATTTTACCGATCTTGGTACGTTGTCTTGAGCAACATGAAAAGTAAGTTTCTTTTTTTTTTTTATTTGTATTATAAATATTTTAAAAATATTAAATAAATATATTTTCAGTCCTTCGTTGCAATTTGAAGCAGCATGGGCTTTAACAAACATTGCGAGTGGCACGTCGGCTCAGACGCAGGCGGTGATGCAAGCTGGTGCAGTCCCATTATTTTTACAATTATTACGTTCCAGTCAACAAAACGTCTGCGAGCAAGCTGTCTGGGCTTTAGGTGACTTGATTATTCAATTTTATTTATTCAATGTTTATTTTATCACAAACTGTGTATCTTTGTTGTTATCATTTTTTAATTATCATTGTTTTTTTTTTTTTTTTTTAACAGGAAATATCATTGGTGATGGACCAATACCCCGAGATTACGTTATCAAACTCGGTGTAGTACAACCACTATTGACATTTATCAAACCAGAAATACCAATAACATTTTTACGTAATGTAACATGGGTAATTGTAAATTTATGTCGAAATAAAGATCCGCCACCACCAGTACTAACTATACAAGAAATATTACCAGCGCTCAATGCTCTTATTCTTCATACAGACGTTAATGTAATTTTTTTTTTTTTTTATTATAATAATTCATCTTTAATGATTTTTAAGATAATCAAATAGAGAGACATTTGATAATTGAAAAAAAATTTTTAACAATTAAATTATAGAAAAAAAAATTTATTTAAAAAATTATAATCTTCAGAGGCTTTAAAAAAAATATTGATTTATTTATTTATTTATTTAAAAAAAAAAAAAAAAAAAAAACGCCCTCTGCAATTTATAACAATATATTATTTTTTAATTTTTTAATGGAGTTTTTTTTTTATTTTTTAATGCAATATTTTTATTAATTTTTTAATTATTAAATGTAATTGTATTTTTAATTTTTTTAATGCAATTTTTTAAAAATAATTTTTTAGAGCTAGTTTATTATTAAAAAAAATTGTCAAGTGTCTACTAATTTAAATGTTATAAAATGATTACATAAATAACAATTAATCTATTTCCAGATACTTGTTGACACAGTATGGGCACTGAGTTATTTAACAGACGGCGGTAATGAACAAATCCAAATGGTAATAAACAGTGGAGTTGTACCGCGACTGATACCGCTTCTTTCGCACAAAGAAGTTAAGCTACAGACAGCAGCTCTTCGAGCGGTGGGCAATATTGTGACGGGTACTGACGAGCAGACACAGACTGTGTTGAACTGCGGAGCGCTCAGCCATTTCCACAACCTGTTGACTCACACGAAGGACAAAATATGCAAAGAAGCCGTGTGGTTCTTATCGAACATCACCGCGGGAAATCAGTCTCAGGTTGAGGCGGTAATCGAGGCCGGGCTTCTGCCTCTCATCATCCGCAACCTTTCGAAGTCTGATTTCCAGACGCAAAAAGAGGCTGCGTGGGCGATCAGCAACTTCACGATAAGTGGAAACAGGGACCAAGTCGCGCGGTTAATTCATGAAGGAGTTATCGCACCTTTTTGTGATTTATTGTCGTGTAAAGACACACAAGTTATTCAAGTCGTTTTGGATGGTATTAATAATATGCTCAAACTCGCTGGTACTGAAGTCGAACAACTTGCTAATATGATTGAAGAATGTTCTGGTAAGTATTTTATTTTCATATTCATAATAATAATAATAATAATCGAAATTTTAATATTATTATTGTTGTCGTAATAATAATAATAATAATAATAATAATAATAATAATAATAATAATAATCTATATTATTAAGAAAATAAGCAAAATTTTGTGACCAGTGTATTTATATGATAAAATGGGTTTTTATGGTTAAATTTGGTATCGTTGGAAAAATCTTGACTAGAATTTGTACCTTTTCATGGTTTCATATCATTTTCACCAATAATCAATTTATGATGATGTATTTAGGCTGCATTCGAAAATGCTCTATTTTTAGATACATAATTAAGAAATAACCCTGTATCTCGTGAACTATTGACATTTTTTAAGATATAAGCTCATCCCGATGTTACACTCATCGAGACCTTTCATTTGAGTACCCACATCAATTTTTCATATATTTATATGTATTATATATATGTATATATGAAAAATATATGAAAATGCATGTGGGTATTCAAATGAAAGCTCTTGATGAGTGTAACATCAGGATGAGCTTATATCTTTAAAAACGTCAATAGTTAAAAAAAGTACAATGCAATTTAACAAAAGTCATTATTTAATAAAGCAAAATTTTATTTATTTATAGTTCACAATTCACGGCAGTCACATAATGACTGCAAGGTTGCTAGTTATTGTTATTAAATAAAACTTGTTAAAAATTTCAATAATAATAATAATTGAAGAGTTCAGTATAAACTCTTCAATTAGTGAAATCACCGATCTTCGGAATAAATGGAAATAATAATAATTTTAGTAAAAAAAAAGTATTTTATAAATTTTTTTACAGTGAAAAAAAATTTTTTTTTGTATAAAATTTACTTAGACACTTTTATACAACACAAGTTAATTTTTTTTAAAACTTGTTTCTTTAAGTTTTAATATTTCAAAAAATATTATCCATATTGTAAATTTAATAAGCAATTCTTAAATTTCTTCAACTCACGCATACATGTTTTTTAATTAGACTTTAAAATCGATTTTTTTAATACAAAAAATTATAATATTCTATGTTACTCATAAAACTAAAAAAAATTTTTTTTGCTATTAAGGTAGTTCGGTGTATAAATGCAAAATTTTAAGAAGTTTTGGAAATTTAAAATATGGGTAATAGAATACGCATTACATGTGCTGTTGAAATTTGAAATCAATTGACCATACCAGAAATGAGATAATTGTAATTAAAACTGACATTTTAGCACAGACAGTATGGGTGGAGAGTAAGAAAATCACAAATATTAATGGTTCTTACATTGAAAGGATTTTCAGATCATTTCAAAAAACTGATACCTGGTAGAATAATATACTTAAAATAATCCAAAGAAATTTTGAAAATTTTGACCATGTAGTTTTTTATAAATTGTTAATAAACTGGCTAGGTAAACAAAAATAACCATTAGTAAAAGCGAATAAGAGATAACTCGTAAGAAAGGCAGCACTAGCGAGTGAGAAGAAAAGAAATAGCACAAACTATATGTCCCGAGTAAACTACCTTAAACATTTCAATTTTATGAATTCTTAAAATAATAAAATAGAGTTATTTGATAATTAAAAAAAAAATTTAACAAATAAATTATAGCAAAAAAATTTTTTATCTTTAGAGGCTTTAAAAAAATTATTTATTTAAAAAGAAACTCCCTCGGAAATTTACAACAATGTATTAAATTTTCATGTGCAATTTTTTAAAAATAATTTATAACATTAAAATTAATGTATTTTTTTTTTTTTTTTTTTTTTTTCAATAGGTCTGGACAAAATAGAAGCGCTGCAAGCTCACGAGAACGTAGAAATTTATAAATTAGCTTATGACATTATTGAACAATATTTCTCTGACGAGGTAAGATCCTTAGACTAAAAAAATAATTATTCAATTGCAATAATAATAATAATATATATTAAATTAATTTTCAGACCGATGACACGAACCTAGCCCCACAAGTGGGAGAAGGATCATTTGACTTTGACCCAACAGCGACTATTCCAAACGAAGGTTTCAAATTCTGAGACGTAACAACTATTCCGTTTTATTTATCCGTGCCGCAGTCAAAAAGACACTTCTACTATCATCATCAGCATCTTTATAATAATAATAATAATAATAATAATAATAATAATAATAATAACGATAATTATTATCATCTTATAAAAAATTCAATAATCCTCTTACTTCGATGATGAAGCCGCTTGGTCATCAGCACGAGCATCACCGAGGGCGACGGCACCAGAACCAAGATTCGCGACAATGTGGCCTCCAAATGCTATGAAAGACTTTCATCATAACGGCCTTCGATCTCACCATCAGCATACACGACTAAATAAACAAATTAGTAAAAATTTGTTACAGTTGACTATTTAAATAATTAAAGATTAAAAGATCAAGCGAATAATCTTTCAGTGACATTTGGCAAAGCATGAACGAGCTGCGATAAAGCTTAAATAATTATTTACAATGTTTACACATTAGTAAACTATTTTTTTTTACATTCTCCATTATCTTCCATTTAAAAAAAAATTATTTTGCTTTCTTTTTTATCATTGACATCGGAAATGTATAGAATTAATATTATTAATAATAATTCATATTATTAATTGAATAATTGTGTAATAACTAATGACGTAAAAAAAAAAAACAACCTTTTTTTATTACTTGAGTTATAGTTATTAAAATAAATATGTTTTGTGCTTATAATCGTTGCTCTTTATAATTAAAATATTATAATTATATTCATTATTATTATTAGTTTATTAATCATTTATTTTTTAAGTGAATCTTGGTTCATATTAATATAATTTATTATTTTAAATAAATAAATTTGTGTATATTTTAGGCATTTTAAATTTATAGTGATTACTGAATTAATAATAATAATAATAATAATAATAATGAAACTGACAATTTATTTAAATAAATTTACTACATTAAGTAGCATTACAGACCAATTCTGTATAGAGCCACAATAAAAATTAGCATTTAAATTAATTTCTGTCAATTACAATTATTAATTATTATTATTAATATTAACAAACTATATACTAGTGATTATTCAGTAATAGAGTAATTAGATAATTAGAAACTCGACATGTAATTTTTTTTAACAATACATTTATTAAATCTAAAAATTTATTTCTTATAAAAAATTTTATTTTTCTGGCTCAAACTCGATTGTCGGAGCGCCGAAAGGATGAACGTCATCGGCCCAAGCTTCGTCGGAAAGCTCAGTATCTGGTGTGGGGATGAAAGTGGGAAAGGGAGGTGGTGTTTCAGGCTGTCGTCTTGGTAGCAAGGTGTCGTATACGTGAACCAGAGAGTTTGTTTCTCCTGGACATACTTGTCCTAAGACCCATATTACGTTGTACTTGTAATTCACCCGTAAAATCTGTAATTTTTATTTTTTTTTTTAAGTAAAAAAAATTGATGCATTGTGAAAAATTTTTAGTGGATAATTTTTTTTATATTTTAAGTAAAATAAAAAAAAAATTATATTAGAATATATCGACGGTTTAATTGGCAATTGGTCTAACTCCTTATTTTTTAGAGGGTGATTTTTTAACATTTTGATGTAGTAATAGTCCGCTTATAAATTATTCGAATATATTAACCAAAATATTATACCTCTATTAAATACTAAACGGTTTTTTAAAGTGAAAATAAATTTCGTACAAATGGAAGATTCTCTAAAATGGAGTTAGACAATTTGCTAATTAAAACGTCGATATATGATACTGAAATTTAGAGATATTTGATTTTATAATTTTTTTATCAAATTAATTTTAGGGAGAAAAATTTATTAAAAAATTTTTTAGAAGCTGTAAAAAATTTTTAAAATAATTTTCTGAGACTAATTTATTTTTCAAAAAATTTTTAAGTGTCTTCTAATTTTAGTGTGATGAATATACGTAATACTAAATAAAGTTAGCCGACGTTTTTAATTTTTTTATAATCATTGAATTATAACTAAAAAATATTTTTAAAAAAATTACACGAATAGTTTTTAAAATTTTTTACAAATTAATTTTTTTTCCTTATTTTTTTTTGATAAAAAAAATTTATAAAAATTTTTAGATGTCGGCTAACTTAATTTCTATTGAATATACATAATAAAAAAAAAAAAACTTACTTTCTGACCACGAAAGATGCGATATCTATTACCCATATGTCCAGGCATTTTAGTACCAGGCATAACACGAGCTTTCTGGCCTCCTGAACCAATATTACCTGGTCGACGATGAGTTTTAGTTACACCATGAGTCGCAGGCATACCATGGAAACCCCAACGTTTCATTACACCTTGGAATCCACGGTCAATTCTGAATTATAAAATATTTTATTATAATTATTTACAAAATCAGATCGATAAATGTTTTTTATAAATTGAAAATCAAATATTAATCTTTACGTTTTGCCTCTGATATCAACAACATCACCAGGTCTGTAATGAGTCGCCAATAGTGGCGTTCCAGGCTGCAGTGCACCGTTGGGCGTGACGGCAAAACGTGATAAAAGTCTTTTGGGCATCACACCAGCGTTATAAAATAATCCGCAATATTCTTTAGTATACTAAAAATAATAAAATTGTCAATTATAATTTAATTATTCAAGACAATTGATTAAATAATAATTTTAATGTTATTAAAAATTACCAATTGTGGGTCAGAGCTTTCAGCTCCGACAACCAAGCATCCCAATTTTCTCTTAGGAATAATATGCCTCGTCCTATGACCTGGTTCCCACTCTTCAGGAGGAATATATTTGATGACATGGTTGTCACAAATCTGAAAAAATTCAATTATTAATTATTATTATTACTATTATTAATTGTTATTAATAATTATGAAAATAAATTAATAGTTGAGAAGTAAATACGTGTAACAAAGTAGCGAGAACTTTCTTCCCATTCTTCAGCCACATCGGGTAAATCCCGATTTTACGGGCAATGGTGCCAGTTCTTCTTGATCCTTGAACCCATTCTGGAGAGGGTTCAATGGGAGCGACCTTTAAGGGTGAATAACATTTGCTCAATGGATCCGGAGATCCGTAGTTTGTTTCTAATACTTCTTTTACAAATCCTCTGTTTTCCAGTGTGACGTCATCTCTGTATAACTTTTATTTTATGGAAACAAATAAATAAATTAATAAATTATTTTTTATTGAAATTATACTAAAATTATCAGACATCTGACAATTCGTGGAATTTTTATAATAAATCAATTATTATCAAAAAAATACATTTTAAAAAATTTGCACTTATTTTTTTTATTTTCTACATATCAAATTTTATTTTTATATTTCAATTGTTATAAAATTAAAAAAAATTTTTAGATATCTGTTAAATAAAAAATTATTTAATGATATATTAATTATTATCTCACAATTTTTTGTATCTAAATTATTAATGAAAAAATTTACATCAAGAAATTTTATAAAATTTTAAGTGTGAATTTTTAAAAATTATTTTTTATTTATAAAAATTGATTTTTTATGAAAATTAAAAAATTATTAAATGACAGCTAATTTTATTATTATATTATTTAATAAACAAAATAATTACTGTTCGTGTCTGCTTAGGCAGCCAAGGTGGAAGACGTTTCCTTGGCTTTTGATTCAGTTTACTATATCTTTCACGATATGGAATTGTCAGCACCTCAACTCTAAAAATTAAATTATCTATGATAAATAAATTATAAATATTATGAAATTAAATCAATTTAATTGAAAAAAATAAAAAACTAACCTTGGTTTCAAAAAATTACTTAAAACATTCAGCCCAGAGCGAATTTTTATAAACGACCCCATTTTTACAATCAAAATTACAATTTTTTAGTTTTTCATTGGTTAAAACAAAAATCACAAATTATTTAACAATTAAAAAAAAACAATAAATATTTTCTATTTAATACAGATATTTTTATTTAATGATTGTTATTTATTGTAAATTACAACTATAACCTTTATTTTTCATGCTGCGCAATCGATAGTGCGCAGTCGATAATCGAAGTCAGCGCCGCGACTTAAATTTGAATTTTCGATAGATCGATTGCAAAGTGACGGTTGGGAATTCCGGACCCGAAAGAGTTAGTCGGTGAATTTCAGTCGTTGTAATAAGACTGGGATGTTTTTCGTTGGTGAAGATGAGTTTGTAATATGTATCTTGGAATTATAATGAAAAATGACATGTCTTTAATTATCAATGATTCATGAGTTTACAATTGTTACAAGTGTTTGGTATTAAATTCGTAAATTAAGTGAGGATAAATAAACTGGTGTTTTTTTAGGTGATAAGTGCTGGTGATTTGGAACTTTTGAATACTTCTTGGTGAAGCATTCAATTGTTTTGTGGAGATTTGGCAGTATGGTGAGTAATTTTTTTTGATATTATAAAATTTTTATTGTTGATATTTTTTTAATGAAAAATTTAGAATATTATCTTGAATTTAATTTTTTTTGTTAAAAGTATAAAAAATAATTTGATATATTGAATTTTTTTTTTAATAAATAAAATTAGAACTTAAAAAATATATCTAAAAAAAAATGTATTTTTTTAGTTTTTCAAAATTTCCATAAGTGGAATTAAAAAAAAAAATTTATAATTTTTCTTATTTAAAAAATTACAACGGAAAAAAAATTTGTCATTTTTTTAAAAACATTTTTTCACTTCTAATTTAATTAATAAAAATTTGTTTCGACAAAATTACTTTTAATAAAATTTTTTTGATATTAATTTTATTTTTACAAGTACTTATAATTGAAGTATCAATGAATTTTTTATTACGCAAAAAAATTTAAGCGCCATAAGCCCGGCATTTTGTCGTGCGCGCCTCTGGCGGTAATTTTCCAAATTAAATCTGAGGTTATTAAAATAAAAATAACGTGAGACGTACAAAATATATAGTCCTTAAAATAAAAACAGAGTACCTAGAAATAGAAATTATTAAATATTTATAAATTTAATAATTGTTTAAAAAAAAATTATTTATAAGTAAATGATATAAATTTTAAACAATGTCGGATAATGAGAACAGTGAAGATGTTATGTTGCAAAGACACAAGAAAGAGCGCAAGGACCTGCAAGGTATGTATTGATTAATTTATTAATTAAACACTTAATATTAATATAAAAAAATAATAATAATAATAATTATTATTATTATTATTATAAAAATATTATTAATAATAAAAATTTTATTTTAGCACAAATTCAAATTTTAAAAAAATCAGTAGGCAAAGGTGACAAAAAAAAGAAACGTGAAATAACCGAACAAATCGCACAATTAGAGTCAGATTTGGACCGCCGTCAGGACGAAGAGTTGAACAATTTAAAGCTGTCACAAATAACGCTGACTGGTTTGCCAGAAGAAACCATCATACTGCCAGAGGACGACAATGACAACGACAACGACAACCCGAAGATTTCAAAAGCGCAAAAGCGCCGAGAGAAGAAAGCTCTCGCGGAACGGGAGCGAAATCAACGAATCATCGAAGCCGAGGCGTTGAACGTCTTCGGGAAGCGCAACGTCGAGACCCAGACGATCAAAAAGATCCTGGGAGAACGCGACCTGATGATCTACGAGGTGCCCAGTGATGGTCATTGCCTCTACAACGCGGTCACCCACCAGCTGAAGAGCATCGGAGTCCCCATGAGACTCGAGGAGCTACGTCATAAAACTGCCGAGTACCTGCGTCAGAATATCAACGATTTCCTGCCGTTCCTGACCAACCCAGACTCTGAAGATGCTCTTACTGAGGAACAGTACCAGCAGTACTGCGACAATGTCGCGACTACCAGCGCCTGGGGCGGCGCCATTGAGCTCCAGGTGCTCTCTCGCATCCTCAGCTGCCCTATTGAAGTCGTCCAAGCTGTTGGCAGCTCTTATATCGTCGGGGACGAGTTCGAGAGCTGTAAAAAGATCACTCTCACTTATCATCGACATATGTATGAGCTTGGTGCTCATTATAATTCTGTTACCAAGTTTGTTAGAGATGATAATGATGATAGTTGATTTTAATTTTGGTCACTGATATTACCTGATTATTTACTTGGTTTTTTGATAGATAATTATTATTTTTTATATTAAGATTTTTTTTTCTGGAATATTAAGGAGAAACACCACTGTGACGGTCGAAAAAAGGTGATTTTCGGGAATTTTTTTGACAGGGAAAATAAATGAATTTGGAGATTGGATTTTTTTATATTATTAAGGGTACATTAAAGATTACTACCCTAAATTTTTATTAAAAAATATTTAATTGTTACAAAATTATTAACAAACTCGTAGAGCACTAGAAAAAATTCCCCCCTCCATGGTCGCATCGATAACTCAAAAACGGATCATCTGAAAATAAAAATCCAAATTGCTTTTTAATCAGTAGGGATGTAGTTATCGTGCTCGTACGGAATTTTGAAAATTTTAATTTTCAAAAAAATGCCGACTGATTGAAAATATTCTCATTATTATTACTGTTTTTTTTTTTAACTCGGCTAAAAAAATCTTTAAAATCAAAATTTTTTAAATTCCGTACGCGCAACGATAACTACATCCTTACTAATTAAAAAGCAATTTGAGTTTTTATTTTCAGATGATCCGTTTTTGAATTATCGATGCGACCATGGAGGGGGGAATTTTTTCTAGTGCTCTACGAGATTGTTAATAACTTTGTAATAATTAAAAATTTTTTAATAAAAATTTAGGGTATTAATATTTAATGTACCCTTGATAAAATAAAAAAATCCGATCCCCAAATTCCTTTATTTTCTCTGTTAAAAAAATTCCCGTAAATCACCTTTTTTTCGACTCACAGTGGTGTTCCCCCTTAATTAGTTAAATTTTTATGACACTGGAATTAGCAGACACTTGAGAATTTTTTTATTTCTCTTTAAAAATAAACCAATTTTACAAAATAACTTAAAAAAGATTTTTAAATCTAAAAATGAAATTGTTTTGTTTAAAAAATTATCAAATGTCTCTTAATTTTAGTATCATAATTTTTTAGGTAATAATTTATACAGAAGAAAAGTTTGATCTATTTTTTATCTGAAAAAATTAAAAAAATCTCCAGAATAAAATTAAAAATTTTTATAAACAATTTTAAGGCGATAATTTTTTTATCTTGCGATTTTTGTTATAAAATTTTTTTTTAATTGCACTTTTGAAGAGTACTATAAAAAAATATACTAAAAATTTATTGAGCACCTTAAAATTGGTGATTAAAAATCAAAGTTTTAACTTGAGGGCTTTTCATGTTAAAAGAAACAATCATTTTTCTATTTGTCTTGGCTAAAAATAATTAAGTTAAATTAATCTTGTGTATAATCATTATTTTTACGATCAAAAAACTTCAAGTCAATAATTACCTCGATTATTTAGAGCTGTAGACACAAAAAAAATTTAACTATTAAAAAATAGTTTTTTTCAAATAATTATTTTAAAATCACTGTCACTTACTGCCAACGTACAGAATTTTTACAATTCACTTAAATATTAATAATAAAAATAAATTAGAATAAAATTATATCGGTTATTTTTAGCAATTAATTTATAAATTATCAAATAATTTTTTGAGTTTATATTGACAATATTTAAACTGCCAAAACTGATAATATAAACTAGTTTTATTGTATGATAAAAAGTTCAATGAAATATAAATATCATAATTTTAAAAAATTAAACTGTTAAGTATAAGATAAACAACTAAAATTTTCGAGCAGTAAGAAATAGCACAACCTAAATTCGCATTGACGAAAAACGTTTCATATCTTATTTGAATAGTTTATTTATATTTAAATAGCACAATTACGAGTTTACTTAAGCTAAATATTTGAATGGTGACTCGTTTTATATTAGTGTCGATGCCGATTGTTTGTTTTCTTTCTCGGAAGATAGCTTTGAGTAACAAGTTTAATTATATTACATGTTAATGTACTAGGGATTGAATCTGATTATTTTACAACTAATGTATACATATTAAAATTGGTACTTGACGAATTATATAATAATAAATAAAAAGCAGTAAGTAATAAACATGGTTTATTCAACCGTTACAAAAATGTAGACTATTTATTTATCAGGTGTTTTTATTTCTTCCTCGTTTTCTTTATGTTTAGTAGGGTTGTCATCGGGTTTCATTGCCGGAAATAGCAGAACCTCCTGGAAAATATAATTTTATCAATTAATATTTTTTCATTTAAAAATTAATTAATAAATGATTTAATTATTGCATGATTAATAAATTCAACATAATTAAGGACAACTCTTGATAAGTTTTCATTTAATAATTCCAATTAAATTATTAAATAATTTTGATTAATTTTTTTCCAATAATTTAATGAATAACTTTTAATTAATAAATTAAAGTTACTTTTTAATTGAATTAAATTGAAATTTAATATTTAAATTTAATTTTTCAATGAGTTGAAATCTCAAATTGATGACAATTTTTTTTTTTATAAATGAATTATTATGAAAACATGTTTTTTTAAAAAATTCTACATAAAAATTTTTTTTTAAATAAATTTTAAAGAATAAATTTAAAAAACTAATTTTTTATAATACCCTTTATAATAAATTAAAAAAAACTGGCAAGCTTGCAGTCACTATGTGACTGCCGTGACTTGTGAATTATAAATAAATAAAATTTTGCTTCATTAAATAATGACTTATGTTAAATTGAAGTGTACTTTCTTAACTATTGACGTTCTTAAAGGTATAAGCTCATCCCGATGTTATACTCATCAAGAGCTTTTATTTGAGTACCCACATGCATTTTTGATATATTTTTCATATATACATATATATAATATATAAAAATATATGAAAAATTGATGTGAGTACTCAAATGAAAGGTCTTGATCAGGGTAACATCGGGATGAGCTTATATCTTTCAAAATGTCAGTAGTTGACCAGATATAAAGTCATTTCCTAATTATTGATATTTTTAAAGACATAAACTTATCCTGACGTTATACTCATCAAGAGCTTTCATTTGAGTACCCACATGCATTTTGATATATATTTTATATATACATATATATATAATATATAAAAATATATGAAAAATTGATGTGAGTACTCAAATGAAAGGTCTCGATGAGTGTAATGTCAGAGTGAGCTTATATCTTTAAAAATGTCAATATTTTACAAGATATTTGTTAAATTGCACTGTACTTTCTTGAATATTAACGTTTTTAACGATATAAGCTCATACCGATGTTACACTCATCAAGAGCTTTCATTTGAGTACCCACATGCATTTTCATATATTTTTCATATATACATATACATAATATATATAAATATATGATAAATTGATGTGGGTACTTAAATGAAAGGTCTTGATGAGTATAACATCGGAATGAGCTTATATCTTAAAAAATGCCAATATTTCACGAAATACAAGGTCATTTTTTAATTATGTATTTAGAGATAGAGCATTTTCGAATGCAGCCTAAATACTTATCACTATAAATTGACTATTGGTGAGAATGATATGAAACCTTGAAAAGGCACAAATTCAAGTCAAGACCTTTGCAACGATACCAAATTTAACCATAAAAACCCATTTTATCTCTTAATAATATAGATTATAAAAAATAGATTATTATTCTCTTAATAATATAGATTATAAAAAAAAGTAATTTTTTTATAATAAAGAAAAAAAAATAATAATTACCTTAATATTATTCGAATCAGTTAAGAACATAGTTAATCGGTCAATGCCCATGCCCCATCCTCCAGTGGGAGGCAGCCCATACTCCAGAGCAGTACAAAAATTTTCATCGATCATCTGAGCTTCATCGTCTCCAGCATCCTTATCCTTGGCTTGTTGCTCGAACCGTTCTCTCTGGACAAGAGGATCGTTTAACTCGGTATAAGCATTGCATAGTTCTTTCTTCATGACGAAGAGCTCGAACCTTTCAGTGAGGCCCTTGGCAGACCTGTGCCACTTGGCGAGCGGCGACATGATCTGAGGGTGGTCGGTGATGAACGTCGGGTGGATGCAAGTCTCCTCAAGGAAGTCTCCCACCAGTTTGTCCAACAAACGCGCGGTGGTTCTCGGTGGAGGACACTCGACGTCATGCTTGATGCATAAATCACTCAGGAATTTGTTGGCTTCCACGGTGTTTAATTTCTCAGGATCCGGAAACTTGACGCCCAGCTTCTCTTCCAGGGTTTTTATCATCGGCAGTCGTCTGAACGGGGGAGTGAAGTCTATCTCTACGCCTTCGCCTTCCGGACCGTCTGGGTGGTAGACTAGCTTGTGGGTTCCGTGGATGCTTCTTACCATTCCTGAGACCAGAGTCTCGGTTATTGCCATCAGGTCGTGGTAGTCCGCGTAGGCCATGTAGAACTCGCAGGATGTGAATTCGGGGTTGTGTGTCATGTCTATTCCTTCGTTTCGGAATAAGCGACCGATTTCGTAGACTCGATCGAATCCTCCGACTACTAACATCTGAAAAATTAATATTCATTTTCAATTATAAAATTTTTAATAAATTAATAAAAATTTATAATTAAAAAAAAATATTTGTCTTGTATAATAGAATAATTTTTTTTTTAAATATAAATTCAGGTCATAGATTAGATTTTAATTAAAAAAACCTTTTTATACAAAATTTAAATTTTATTGATGGAAGATTTTTTTTTTAAATTTCAAATATTTGAATAAATATTTTTGTTTTATTGAAAAATTTATTAAGTAATTTTTTTTTATAAAAAAATTTATGAAGTAATTTTTTTTGATGAAGAAAATTATGATTAAAAAATTGTTTTTTAATTCTAAAATAAATTTAAGACAGCAATTTTATTACTGAGAAGAGAAAAATTATTTGGATAAAAATTTTTAAAAATTAATTATTAAAAATATATATTGGCTCATATGAAAATAAAACTAAAAAATTTTTATATCTGATTTTTTCAGTATAATATCATTTTTTAAAACTTTAAATAGTTTTTTTTTCCATACATTTTTTTGCTAAAAATCTTCTATATTTATATCAAATTTTTTACCAAAGTGAACGTTTTTTTTTGTAAGGAAAATTTAGTAGAAATTTTTTTAACAAAATTTATAACTATCTATTGATAAATAAAAAAAAAAAATACCTTCAGATATAATTCAGGAGCAACACGCATAAAAAGATCCATATTTAAATCATTATGATGCGTAATAAATGGTTTAGCAGTAGCACCACCAGCAATCATGTTCATCATCGGGGTTTCAACCTCCAAAAATCCCATTTCATCAAGGAATTTACGAACATAAGCTATTATTTTAGCCCTTATTTGGAACTTTTGTCGAACACTTGAGTTTATTATTAAATCTAAATAACGCTGACGGAATCTTGTTTCCTAGAAATAATAAAAATGAAATTAATTAATAAATAAAAATTTAAAATCAATAAATTACTTACCTTATCCTTGAGTCCGTAGTGGAGGTGAGGAAGCATGTGCAAGCAAGGACTCAGCAGCGTGATTTTCTTAGGCAAAATTGAAAATTCTCCTAGTTTTGACTTAGTAGGCACCCCGAGAACCCCCACGATGTCTCCGCGACCGAGTTTGTCGGTGTCTCGGTTGAAGGCATCCTCGCTTTCGTAGTGCTTGGCGTTGGCCATGATTTGGAGCTTGAGACCCTCGCCTCTCAGGTCGTAAAAAATGAGCTTGGCCCCGGCGCGACGTATCGAGTGGATACGACCCGCGATACTGTGGACTTCTTTGTCGAAGATTTCTCCGGGCTTGACTTTCTCGCCGAACATCTCGATGAAGTTGTCAAGGGAGGACGACACGTGGAACTTGTGCGGGTATGGGCTGTCATTTGCTTCTTTTAGCTCGTTTATTTCTTTTACTCGTAATTTAAAATACTCCTGTCAATTTATAGAAATTAATTAATTAGTGAAAAAAATAATAATTTTTATTAGTTGAAAAATATTTTGGATTATTTTTTTATTGCAAATAAAATTTTTAGGAAAATTTTATTCAAACATTTAATGATATTTTTAAGATAGGTATTAATTTATTATTTCAGTCTCATATTTTTTTTTTAATAAAAAAAAATTTTATAATTTTTTAAAATATGTGTCAAACTGATAAAAGATGATTTTTTTTTTAATTTTATGTAAAAAAATACATGAAAACATTTTATTTTTATTAAATATTAAATAAATGCTTAATTTTTATTTTTATTGAATAATAATAATAGAAGTTTGAATTAATTTTTCAAACTAATAATAATTACTATTATTATTACCAAAATTGCTGTTTAAAAATGTTAAAATAATAATAAAAATAATAATAATAATAATAATAACTTACATTAGGACTAATTTCTTCTTCTTTAATTTTTTCTTTTTTTTCATTTGACTGAGGAGCTTCAGCAGCAGCCTTGGCATCTTTTTCAGCTTTTTCTTTAAGCTTTTGTTCAGCTTTCAATCGCCTTTTTAATTCACTGCAAAAAAAAAAAAAAAAAAATAAATAAATAATTCGTTAAAAAAAAAAAAGTTTATTCTCATAAAAATCATAGAAAAAAAATTTCTCTTTTCTTAAACAAATTAAAATAAAAAATTATGAATTTTAATGGCAAATATAATAAACACATTCAATAAAATTTTTTTTACTAGTTTAAAAAAAGTTATCAAATGTCAATCATCACCAGAAGCTTCAACAAACTGATTAAAATCTGACATAAGATAATAACCCTGATTAAAATAAAAGTACCGGTCAACTCCAGTCGCTAAGAAAGCAACATGACGCAATCTTCCATATGGTGTTGCGAGCACCAGAGCCGATTGTGACAATGCCGGGACGAAATAACCCAATTGTTTGGTTATACGCGCCAACATTTTAATATTAACTAATTAAATTATCACACATTTGATATAACATTAAGCAAAATATAAAATTACTCAACACCGGTTACCCGGCACTCAGTCCCCAGTTCTGAGATTTATTTAATTTATTTTATCATAAATAAATATTATTTTTAGCGTATCAACCGGAGAGAAAACGTGGGAGACATGGTCACTATTTCAATACTCATAGGTTAAGTTTGTTTGTAACTAAAATATTTTTAATTATCCTCTCCAGTTTCTAGAAAAATTTAATCAATATTAATATCTCTAATTATCACAAATTTATTTACCAGTTACTTACTTTTTTGATAATTTTTCCCCTGTCTCAGCCATCGTGCCCAAAAAACTTTTTTTTTACAATTTATACAGTTTATACAATTATATAGTTTTTCGCTGCACTGGCATGCGCTGTTGGTACATACGGATTTTTTGCTTCCCGCAGTTGGCAGCATTTTTAGTCTCGGGATTTCCGCGCTTTTTTAAAAAAAAAACTTTTACCTAAAAAAAAAAAGGCAAAAATCGATATTTTTTGAAATTTCAAACAATTTTCACTACAAAAAAATATTATTTTAATAAACAATAACCCTTTTTACTCTTTAATAATTAATAATTACCTTTATAATCATAAATGGTTGCTATGGAGACTCATTTTGTTGATTCATAACCTGGAATGATAAAAGTGATTATTTTTAATTTTTATTGACGGTAAATTCATATAATAAAATTTATATAATATTACTTGAGTGGCAAAATGGATGGAATCATGGGTTACAATGATTTAAAAGCGCTTCAAGCGTTAATTAATCCCAATAATTCTGATTCTGAAGATGAGGATCTTCCGCAGAAGGGATTACGTAAATTAGGTGAACTCATTGTTATTATTTTATATAATTGTTATTTATAATTATATATATTTAAGATGTCTATTGAAGATATCGACCATGAGAGTTGTTACTTATTAAATCAGCAGAAAAGTTGGATTTTAAATATTTGATGCATGAAAATTAGGTCGCGTTAAAATATATCTTCATTTTAATGAAGTTTTTCGTGTGGAGATAGAAACGGAAGTTCTTAATGAACACGAGGATTGAAGTCGGATCATTTTATAAAATTATACAGAGCATATATTGATCAATTAAATAATTTAGCAATATAAATTTTAAAAATTATTTTATTGAATGAAATGATTAAAGTGTATTAAAAATTATTTGATTAATGTCAGTGATAAAAAATATTATTTAATAATTATTTATTTATTTGTAAAGAAACGCCCTTGGCAATTTACAAGAATATGTTACATTTTCATGTGTAGAATGTTATAGTAATATTTATATACAATAAATAGCATCTATAAAGAAAAGATATATCTATAGATTTAAGGGGGTATTCTAGTCTAGAAGCATGAATTTCAGGTAATTTTTTGAAGTGCCGTAAAAAAAAGCCAATCAATATTTTTACTATCCATTTTTTTTATGTTATTTATTAACATTACAAGAATAGGCACGTGACCATGCCCACGATTCCGCAACCATCCTAGCAATCGGAAATAAAAAAATAAAAAAGATTATCAATCTAGAGTAATGTCGCTATGGCATGAACTAGGGAAAGGTTGAAAAAAAATTTTTTCACAAAATGGCGACTGCTTGAAAAAAAAAATTTTTTTTGACTTTTTCGAATTTTTTAAAAATAGTAAAAATTGAAATTTGGGGATGATCCTAGTTCATGCCATAGCGACATTACTCTAGACTGATAATCTTTTTTATTTTTTTATTTCCGATTGCTAGGATGGTTGCGGAATCGTGGGCATGGTCACGTGCCAATTTTTTGAGACCCCCCCAC